GTGTTTTCACAAGCCTACCTTGGGATGGATGACCCTTGGCAGCAACATGCACCAAATTCTTTTTATCACATCTCATAAAGACCCTCACAATTGAGGATTTCCATTACTGCTTCAGGAACAAAGATGATGGGCTAAGTGTGTTAGGAGTGAGGGTGAATGTTTTGAGCGGAATTAATGGCAATGTGTTATTTATTGTATACATGTTTTTATTTAAATCTTCACCATATAGTTCACCTCCTAAGTGTCAGTTTATGTACCTATCTTAAATCTTCTTGGGAGCTTTGTAGATGGAAACAGTTTTTGCATGCTCTAATACCCACACATGTATTTTATTTGCACTTACTTTTATCTCTGGCATCTTAGCTATTATGCATAAATTACTGTAGGAGTAAATCATTTCCTCTATAAAACCTGGAATTTATACGGAAAAGATTCTAACTTTCATATTTATATGCACACTGTGCTTCTAATAGGATTTATACATAATTGTGTAACAGTGAATGTTTGATTTCCTTAACATGCCAAAATCATTTTTTTTTTTTTTGGCATAACATCAATTTTTCATTTTGGTCTACCTCTGGTTTTTCCCAATTTCTCTAACTTTTCAATGCCCTGTTGTATTTCATTACATAAACACCAAACATATGACGATACTGTCCATCAAATATGATTTATTTAGCAACCATGTACAATAGGAAATACAGAGAATGACGGCATAATAAAAACACAAAAATCATAGGTCATCAAGTTAAAATTAAATTAAAGAGGCTCTGGTTAAAATGGAAGGCATATGACCTTGCAGGATATATATATATGTCGATTAGCTTGGAATACAAGTGCAAAGCAGGACATTCCAGGTGCAGCAGCCTAATGCATCAGCCCTCTTTGCAGAACGGACCCGCAAGCTGGTGTTCACAGAAGGAAGGATGCAGGTAATTGCCATCCAGCTGCCTGTTAGATGGTGCCAAATCCATCCAGCTTCCTGTTAGCGCCAAATCACAGCTGTCTTGCAGAGAGAGTGGAATATGAAGAAGGAAGGAGTGTAGAAAAGAAAAAGAAAAAAGGGAGAAAAAATGGGGCCATGGAAGAGCAGGGGAAGGCTATGTGCCCCGAGAAGGCTGAGTCTAACTGTCTTCCCTAATCCTTCCGCGAGGTCAGTCACAGGGCTTTGGGACTCACATAACCTGGAGAACTTGGCCAAGTCCAAACACAGAAATTGGTTCTAATCTTTCTCTTCCTCCATTCTTTTACAACAAAGTGTAGAGAACTCAAAGCATTAAGAGGAATGCGATGTATTCCTCTCTCAGAGAATTCATAGCTTTGCTGAAAGACTGGCCCAAGTAGGAGCCGTAGTAATTATCCTTCCCGGACAATCATGTTCTATGTGAAATCCAGAGTATTTTCTGCATGGTAAATAGCTCCTTAAAAAAGGCTTTAAAAGCAGTAGTTACAGTTAATCCATAAATAGAAATAAAATGTCTGTTTTAAAGGACAAAAAGTCACTATGATACGCATTTCTATAAATCTTCCCCATCACATTTTTATAGATCATCACTGCTTATATTTAAAATATCAATTGCATTGTAATCTCTATTGTATAATTCGATTATTTAGCTGTGTTCTGCACAAGATTTGGAGAAACTAAAGCTAAGGAACACATTCACAGAACATTTAAAAGCATTTTATATAGTCCACACACAAATATATCTTAAATTACAATGATGCATACTAAATATGCATATAGAATATGGCTTACACTTTAAAAGAGATCAAAATGTGAGTTATAAAATCTCACCACTTAGGCTGAAAAGCTTCCAATCATATCCATTTCTAGTATTGCTTAGCATTGTGGAACCCAGAAAGAAGCAATTGTGATAGGCAACTCATTAGAATGGATGGACTCTCCTTCTTACCATCAGGTAATTGATGGTTCTTCTTGATTCTTTCCATCCTATATCCACCTTTCAAGACCAGTTGGCTTAAGCTCACAATCGTTGAAACGTTCGTACAGTGAAAAGCATTAACACTGAATTGTGTTTGACCTTTCTTGTCAGCTAATACCAATAAAGATAGTTCTTCAACTGGAGCAAAAGAAAGGCTTTGCACATGCTCAGGCAACACATGACAAGAGGCAGGACTCCTGAGGGTGGTAGTTTGTCTCCTTTTAGTAAAATTAAAAAGTCATATCAAGCCATGTGTTCTCTACAGAAAAGTGTGGGCCTCCATTTTCATGGATTTTTTAAATACATGTACACACATGAACACAAACACTTCTTGTGTTCTATCCCTTGCCTGCAATATATCTTATTACAGTCCAATGAGCTCCAATATTTTATTACAGTCCAATTTACCCCAGAAGGCAAATTCCATTCTCTCTTTAAGTGTCCGTCTCCAGCAATGGCTGTTGTTGGGGGCTGCTGGGAATGTGTGACTTCACTGTGACCACACCTTGTTGGTGATGAAGCCACAGGATGGATGCAGCTGGCCCGCTGGCTTTAGGGAAAGGCTGCCCTGACCACCTCAGCTGGAGCACTTCCCTGGTCATCAGGTCACTGAGCCGTGGTGAAGATGTCCACTGCGGCCTTGGGATTCAGTCGCAGCTCCCAGCAGCCCAGATTCTCCTTTTGTTCCCACACATTTAAAATAAGGACAGTCTAAACAGCCCGTTCTCCGGTGCTGCCCCAAAACACTTTTCCCACTTCATTTTTGCTTTTATTTATGACCTGGAAAAATTTGTAGTTAGAGCACTCCTTCGCACAATCCAAGATGGCAAATTTAAAATGCTTCCTCTTCCGCACCTGTGTTGTCCCGCCGCTGAGACAGCTTAGAAGCAATGCACATTTTAAACTGCCCAACTCTTGTCTTAAAATTTTCTCTGGCTTGATTGAAGAAGGCCAAACTGTGAAGAAAAGCCGATGATAGAGGAACAGACCAAGAGCTCCCACAGAAACCTCAAGGTACTTATTTGGCCGGTTATGAGCTTAAAATTTATGTTCTTATTCCTTCTAAAGGATTCCCTTAAAATGGCCAATCCAGTTGGAGGCTGACGGAGGAGAAAGTAGCTTTGTGGAAAGTTGAGGACTTGGGATGTTTGTTAATGTTGTTTTCATCAACCTGAAATAAGAATCAAATGAAAATGAAAAACAGAGAAAGGCAAGGGGTGGGGGCTGAAGCAGATGTTGATTGAAGGACACAAAATTTCAGTTAGGAGGGGTAAGTTCAGAATATCTAATGTATAATGTAGTGACACTAGCTGATAACAATGTCCTATACTCTTAATAATTGCTTAACAAGTAGATTTTAAGTGTTCTTACCATGAAAAAATTATAAATATACATGGTTTTATACATACGTACATATATGTGGGTTAATACACATAATTTATATTATGCATGCAAATTAGATCAATATAACCATTCCACTAGGTATATATTTAAAGCAAATATATGTGTTAAATATACAAATATGTATTAATTAAAAATAAATACAAAGAAATACAGAGATCATGAGTTATATACAGGCATTAATTATTGTGTGAAAATTTCACATTTTACTTGATATACTTTATCAAAATAAGAAATTTATCAGTATATAATAGATATTGGTTTCGTACCAGTTAAAATTTTATTTCCTGCTTGTGCTGTGTCCCTGTGTCTCTTTGGGTATGGATTTTATTCACAGTGAGTGGTCATTTTCACAAATATACTGGTAACCTTTATTCATGGTGTTTTGAACAAATTTAAAAATATTCCAGGTCTATGTCATAAATGCTTAGATCCTAGCCCTTTAAATTTTTTTTTCCTTTTAGAAGCCATGTACTGTACACTGGCTTGAAGGTACTCCCCTAGGAAAGAATTTTGTTTAACTTTCTTTTTACTCAGCTGGCTAATGATATTTATTTTCCAACAATATCCTCTGTTATATAAAATATTTATAATATTCCACTGCATTAGTTTTCACTAAACTATTCTTCAGTGGCTCAATATACATCAGCAGGACTCAAGAACACTTTCTAAAATGACTTATAAACTCTAAAGGTAGTAAATGTGTATTTTCAGTGGAGGTTATGGGGAGGAAGTGTAACTAATTTTAAGCTATATATTACCATGTTAAACATGGATTTTAGTTACTGAAGAGCCACTCTGTGGCTTGATGTCTTTCCAAGCTGTATGTAAAATAGGGATCACATCCATTAGCTATGGAATGGTGTAAGATGGTCACCCTGGGGACAGGTGTGCGCAACTGTCTCCAAACTCAAGAATACGAATTACAACATCGCAAAGGCTTGGTAAGGTGGTCTTAACATTTTTCTCTTGCTCCATCCCCCAAACAGGAAGATCCATGATACTCCTGGGGTTTTGTTTCTTATCTTTTTCCGCACACATCCCTCCTTTCTCACCTACACCAACTCTCTAGGCTCTTGTATGGTTCTCAATTTTAGTGAACAGAAATGTCAACAGAGGGACTTATTCAAAACTCAGATTCCCAAGACACCACTCCCAGAGATAATAGTTTGGTAGACTGAAAGGAATTCCCAGAAGCCAAACGTTTTAAAGAACTACACTAACACACAAGGCCGTGATGCTTGTTTCATGACGTGCCTTTCCTTTGCTTTCATAGGCAAGCATAAAGTTTCATATTCCACTAATCAAATAAAAATAGAAACCAGCATAAAACTTTTGTATTTGCTATGTAAGTTAAAAAATGAACCTTCACGTTCACTACACCTTATTATCAGTAAATATAATTTTATTGGGAATATCTAAAATTTATCTGGTAAGATTTTGCCTCAGAAGACTGACTGACAAAGAATTGAAAAGAAAATTTAAAGAGGATACTTTTGTCTCTAAGGGTATTCTGTAACCATTCATTTTAGAAATTAAGCTTCTTGTCCAAAAAAACGTATGATTACCTCCCACGTTTAAAGTGACAGACGCATGGAAGGTGTTGCAGACCTACGGGTGTGTGTCAGTGTGCTTGCCTTCAGCGTTTGCTAAGCCTTCTGAGTTCTTGTGAAGATCATGTTCGCCTACAAAAAACAAAGAAACAAGAAAAAGTAAATACAAACAGAAAGAAATTTGCTTTTGAGAAAATGTGAGAACATCAGGAGATGAAAGTGATCTGTAAAATGTTGAAGACTTCATTTTACAATGAGTTTTGTAGCACATTTCTCTGATAACTAAATATTTTCAGTCTCTGGGTCTACAGAGTATAATGAATCATCTAATGATTATTTAATTTTTGAAGCTGCAAATTAATCTGAAAATACAAAATATTATAGATGAGATATCATTTAATGGATATTAATTAGAACATCTATTAAATGACATATAAAGATTATACATACAAATACATATCATATATATGATATATATGAAAAGATTACACATATGGAAATTGGACTCACAATCTTGCACTTGCCAGGCAAGAGTTGTGCCGCTGAACTATATCTCTGACTCAGTAATATTTTTAATTGAAATGAATTCTTTTAAACAAGCCCTCTAATGATCAGCATTTTTACCACATATTGATAGCTGAAAGGAATTTAAAACAAGTCGGAATAAGAGTTTAATAATGTTTCAAATAAAATAATCTGTGAAAATAAACTAAGGGAATTTATAACCTTAGAAACTCTCAGCTTCTATACAAACCTCAATAAAAGATAACATGAGACAATATTCCAATACTTCTGGAGAAGTTGCAGAGAATAGATTAAAAATACAGTTATAAAGCAAAATATAGTTATAAAGGAATCTTACATGATACAAAGTAAATAGAATAAGCAGAAATTACCTTTTAAATCAGTTCCTCAAACTACCTTAATATTTCAGGAGATTCTCATATATGATGTAATGTTTTTCTTTGTCTGAACTTTAACTGAACATATTTTAACAAGTAAACTTTGCATCAGTTCTTTCCAATGCATTTCTGACACTGTGTCAACTCAGTTGTGGTAGGTTGTTACTGAGATTACATAGTTAGTTAGTGGTCGTACAGAATTTACAGAGACTAATTATTAAGCTTATGTGTGTTCCTTTAAAATGTATTCAATAGGGTAAACTTATCTTCTGTTCTAAGATTAAAGTTATCAGGCAGACTCGGTCTCATGACTTCTCTGATCACTCGTAGATAATAAAAGCTCTCCTCTGATTATGTTAAGATGCTAAGTCTCAACTCAGACATTAGAAAGCCTGGTCACATATTATATACAGCAAAGGTAAGACTTCTTTCTCATCACAGGTTTGTTACACAACCAGAAGAGTGTGTGTGTGTGTGTGTGTGTGTGTGTGTGTGTGTGTGTGTGTAGAGCTGATGCTTGTTTCATCTCTTGTTTCTTTTCTTGCAAGTGGCTGTTTTGTGTTCCTGACACTGTGTAAGGCAGCTGGAATACCCAGGTTTCCACCTGACCTGTATTTTGAAGAATAGCATTCTACCCCCTACACCTGGAAGGTGGCAAACAAACCTGTTTTTCTGAGAGCACCCTCATGAGCTCTTCAGGGACCTCCCACCAGCCTGAAGAGGTCCAAGAAATGCCACCTTCGCTGTGCACAGCAGTGTTTCCTCAAGCTGCCACATCTCTAGGTTCTTTTGGTTTTATTTTTGGTCCATTATGTAGTTTATGCTGCAAGTAACCAGAATGAACTGATGATCAAAAGTTAGATTTACAGTCACTGGAGAAATGTACTATATGGGGAATCAGAGATCTGCATCCTGAATGGTATTTTGGGATTTGTATAATTTGCCTTTCAGCATAGGAAAAATATTTTTCCCACTTTTGCCTTTAATGTAAATGTTGGACTTGGAGAAGCAAAAGTGATACTGTCTTGTCCTGGAGTGGCGTGATGGTAACAGTAACAGAAAGAAGGGGCGGCGCACAGAAGAACTGATTGCTAAAGCAAAACTCCACGGCCTTCCCAAAGATGGTGCCTGGACACGTAAAGTTGGAGGATGTTCTACCTTACTTCGTAAAATGTTATATGAGATACAAATCAAGGAATAAGTTATTTCTTTGTTCAATAGAGCAAAACATAAGCATCTAATTTTATGAGCATAGTGATCCCAGCTCTCTGCAAGGCTGAGGTAGAAGGATCCCAAGTTCAAACCCAGCCTGGGCAACTTAGCAATTTAGTGACCTAGTGAGATCTTGTCTCAAAATAACAAAAGGGCTGTGGATGTAGCTCAGTGGTCCTGGGTGTAAGGCTAAGTACCACCAAATACACATTACATACACACACACACACACACACACACACACACACACACACACGTATTGGGTTGTAAATATGTAAGAAGTTCTATAGATGATCTACAGAAAAGGAAAGATTTGTACATATATTCATTCACCAATGAGTGAAATTATACTCAAATTTGGAACATAATAACATAACATGCCAAACAGTAGAAGTCTTAATATTTATAATATACTTGAACTGAAGAGTTTAAATGATGTTAGGAGTTTACTAAGCTGGCTACTTGAAAGAACTCAATCTAAAATTATGCCTACAGGATATGTCTGGCTTTGTGGTCTACACATAGGATTTTTTTTCAGCACTGGAGATTGAACTCAGGACCTTCACACTGAGTGACATATCCAGTCTTTATTTTTTGAGACAGGGTCTTACTAAATTGTTAGATTGCCCAGGCTGGGCTTAAACTTGAAATCCTCCTGCCCCAGATTCCCAGAGTAATTCAGTTACAGGTGTGCAATGCCCTGCCACGCTGGAACACATTCTTAATGAGAGAGATAAGGAAGATGAGGGTTGGAGTTTGAGGAAAGGCAGGAATTTGGGTCAGGATGAAAAAATAAATGAAAACTGAGCCTGACATATGTGCCAAAAAAACTCACTCATCTTTTATAAGTAGAAAAAATTACATACACAATATCAGTTTTAGTTATATTCACCTAAGGCAGTTTCAGAAGTTCAAATTTGGAAAAATAATTTATAAAATGATGAAAGCATTTTGACTTGCTTTACGTATTCTCAGTATTCTGGTGAATTGCACTTTCTATTTAAAGTTGGATTAAGAGAACAAACAAAACCACTAACAGTTGCTTGCAGTAAAAAAATGTTTAAGTGTGTAAATACATAAAAAAATGTTTATGCATGTAAATACATAAACTTGCGTCTTTGCCTCAGTGTAGAATACGGAATATGCTTGAGCTCATTTTGCTAACAGGCAATCCTGTGAAACTCTCTGTAGCTAGATAAACTGTTTTAAATATAAGCTATTAACTCACTTTTTTCTTACATGTAGAATCTATGGAAGCACAGAGAATAAACATGAATTACTCATCTGTATCATGAGTGGCACTACAGAACCACTTAAAATCAGTTCTTGATTTTTTTTTTTTTTGCCATTTCCACTACATTTCAAATGCTTAAAAATTAATTGAAAGCTCTGCTTTCCATGTGGCACTTAATAACATTGGTCATTTCTATCGGCCATCACTTCTCAAGCCCTTTTATCTTTGCACTGTCAGGAAGAAAAAAGATGATGCACTTGCATTACATAATCCTTTCCTTTATCTATAACCTCTGGCCTATAATTTGCCATAAAGTTCTGAGCTGTTATATTTCAAATATGAGCCCCCAAACTGACATAATGAAGACACAGTCAAGTTTTAAATTCTATGTGTTGATAGGAGATCATTTGGAAGGATCCAACACACGATTTACATTTCAAATCCCTACCAAAACCTACTGGTACTTTAAAAGGAATGCTTTAGTGTGTCTCATTCAATCCTGAGTGATCTGTGGAAGAAAAAGCCCATGAGCATAAACTAATGACTTACTGACTCCACTTTCCTAATGATAAAAGCAAAATCAACAGCAAAGACAAAAATAAGCATTTCAAGAATCTTCACTATATGTCAAGCTCTGTGTCGAGCGCTTCGTGCATTTGATTAATTCTCTCAACAATCTTTCTGCACAGCCACAGACGACTAAGGAGAGGGCTGGGTCACTGATCCCAGAGCCGTGTCCTATATAACCTAGCCAAAGGTGCTGGGCATGGCGCGCACTTCCTGTACAGATTTAAAACAGTAGGAGCAGTCCTTGTTGTCAGGAAGGGAATATGCAACTGTGAACATTCGAGTTGTGAAGTGTGGAGTCAACAAGACACTTTCCATCTTCTTCCATTTGAAATAGTTCTTTGGGATAATTAAGTAGCTCAGCAGTGGAAGAGAGCGAGTAGCACTTTGCAAGAAATGACTTTGCTGTAAAGCCTGCAGGATGAGAAGAGCCAAGAAGGACTCAAATACCATGGGCCACACAAATCCTATGTGCAGGGACTTCAAATGAAAGGGCTGCTAATGCAATGGAAGAGAAATAGTAGACGTTTTAGATTCTAGGAGTAATAAGTTATTAAATGTAAAGTCTATAATTATATGACCATGTTTCTGTGCTTAAAAAGCAAAAAGTACAAATGAGGGCTGGCATAGTCATTACTGTTCTCACACACTCAAAATCATTGAGAGTGAAATACTTCTAATGTAGAGAACACAGAAATCACAGCTTGGAGATCCTGCAGAGCCAGTTTCACTGTCAAATGGTCAAAAAATTCTTCAGTGGAAAAAACATTTTTTGGGGATATAATTTCTCAATGAAAAAATCGGGGCATATGTGTATGTGTATGTTTTTTTAAATTTTTTGCCTTTTCAGTTTTGTTTTCTCTTTTCCTTTTCTTTTCTTCCTTCCTATCTTTTTGATTCCTTCCTTTGTATCTTCTCCTTTTTTTTTTTGGTGGAAATTAAAATCAGTTGTAATCTTCACCAGGCTGAATACACAATTTTCACCGAGTAACTACAGAAAATCCAGCCCTAGGTACTTCTGATAGTCTTAAAATATTACTTGATAAATTTATATAAGAATTGAGGGAGGCGGGGAACTCCGCCCCAGCCCAGAGAACTCTCTTCTTCGCCTGGGGACCAGGCTCCAGCTTCCTGTCGGATAAGTAAGTCCAGCCGAGGCCGGGAACTGTCTTGTTCACCTGGGGACTAGGCTCCGGCTCTCTGTTGAATGAGTCCATCGGAGGTGGGGAACTCTGCCCCAGTCTGGCAAACTCTTTTCTTCACCTGGGGGCCAGGATCCGGCTTCCTGTCAGGTCCAGTGGGTCCAGAGAAGGCTGGGAGCCCCGTCCCAGTCCGGCGGAGCTCTTCTTCTTCGCCTGGGGACCAGGCCTGGACTTCCTGTCTAGATCAGTGAGTAAGGAGGGGGCAGGGAATTCCATCCCAGCCTGGCTGCCCTCTCCCTCACTTGGAACAATACTTGAAGCTCAAAAATACAGGAAAATGACAAAACGAAAGACCAAAATGCAGTCTCAAACATCCGGCCCATCCCAAGAAAGCCTAGGAGCCATGTGCATAGAAGAAAATACATGCCACATAACTGAAATACCTGAAATAATTGTAACTGAAATAAAGGAGCAACTCTGGGAAGCCTTAAAGGAATTCAAACTAGAAATAATCTCTCAGGTAAAAGAAGAAATGATAAAAGAAATGAAGGAGATGCTGAACATATCTAAAGAAGACACAGTTAAAAAATTGGAGGAGATAAACAAAAAGATAAAATCCTTGGATGAACAATATAAGAAACAAACAGAATATATAAAGCAGATGCAAAGAGATATACAGGAAATCAAAAATTCCATCGAAAGCTGTAAAAACTGCCTCAATGCATGTGAAGATAGAATTTCAGAACTTGAAGACAAGATTGCAGCCAGTGAACAAGAAAGGGAAGATCTTTTAAAAATAACAAGAAATCAGGACGTAACAATTCAACACCTGCAAGATGACGCAAAGAGGAACAACATAAGGTTAATAGGGATAAATGAAAAAGAAGGGGACAACATAAAGGATGTCAAGAGAATATTTAGAGAAGTAATAGCTGAAAATTTCCCAAACATGAGATTGGAAACTGATATCAAGATCAATGAAGCATATAGAACTCCAAATAGCCATAACCAAAATAAAACTACACCCAGACAGATAATAATGGTCATCCCAGAAATCAAACAAAAGAATAGAATATTAAAAGCTGTCAGAGAGAAAAGACAGATCACCTATAAAGGAAAACCTATCAGAATTACAGCAGACTTCTCAGCACAAACAATAAAGTCAAGAAGAGCATGGAGGGAAGTATTTCAGATCCTAAATGAAAATGATTTCCAACCTACACTGATATACCCTGCAAAACTGTCCTTCAAAATGGATGGAGAAATAAGATACTTCCATGACAAAGAACAGCTGAAAAACTACATGATCACCAAACCAACCCTGCAAAGAATACTGAAAGACAGCCTAGATACATTTAGGAAAAAAACCACTAAACAAAGCAGACAAACAGAACTGAAAGGTAAAGATGCAACAGCAGAAAGATAACATGTCAACAATAAACCAATATATAACAGTTATAGCCAATAATGTAAATGGCCTCAATGCATCAATTAAAAGAAACAGACTGGCAGAATGGATGAAGAAACAAAATCCAACCATATGTTGTCTACAAGAAACCCATCTAACCCAAAAGTATACCCACAGACTGAAAGTCAAAGGATGGAAAACAATACTTCATGCAACAGGAACTCAAAAAAAAGCAGGGGTGGCTATTCTGTTTGCAGACAATGTGAACTTCAAGCCAATAATGATCAGAAGAGATAAAGAAGGTCACTACATACTGGTTAGAGGAAAACTCCAAGAGGAAGAAATAACTATCTTAAATATATATGGGCCAAATTCCAGAGCACCCAGTTGTATAAAACAAGTACTAACAGAAATGAAAAACCAAGTTAACAGTGACACAATTCTAACAGGAGATCTTAACACACTATTGACACCAATGGACAGATCAACCAGACAGAAAATCAGCAAAGAAATAAAAGAACTGAATTGCACCTGTGAACAAATAGAGTTAATAGACATATACAAAGTATTCCACCCAACAACAACAGAATACACATTCTTCTCAGCAGCACATGGGTCATTTTCTAAAACTGACGATATCTTAATTAACGAAACATATCTAAATAAGTGCAAAAGGGTTGAAATCATCCCTTGTATGCTTTTGGACCATAGCGCTATGAAATCAGAAATTAATGATTAAAGATACTACAAAATTCCCACAAACACATGGAAACTGAATAACATACTCTTGAGTAATCAGTGGTTCACAGAGTAAATTAAAGAAAAAATTAAACACGACCTACAAGAAAATGAAAACACAAATACAACTTACCAGAATCTGTGGGATGCAATGAAAGCCATCCTTAGAGGAAAATTTATTGCACTGAGTACCCACATCAGGAAAACAGAACAAATACAAATAAATAACCTGATGCTACACCTCAAACAGCTAGAAAAAGAAGAGCAAGTCAAGCCCAAAGCCAAAAGAAGAGAGGAAATTATAAAAATCAGAGCAGAAATCAATGCAATAGAGACTAAGAAAACAATCCAAAGAATCAACAATTCAAAAAGTTGGTTCTTTGAAAGAATAAATAAAATCAATAAGCCCCTAGCCAACCTTATTAAAAAAGGGAAGAAAAAGCTCAAATTCATGCAATAAGGAATGAAAGAGGAGAAATCACTACACACCCTACAGAAATACAGAAAATCATCAACACCTATTTCCAAAACCTCTACTCTCAAAGGTTTGATAACACAGAGGAAATGGACAGATTCCTAGAAGCATGTAAAGTACCAAAGCTAGGTCATGAAGATGTAAAACTACTGAATAACTCAATTTCTATTAATTACATCAAAAACGTAATTAAATCCTTACCTACAAAGAAGAGCCCAGGCCCAGACGGATTCACTGCAGAACTCTACAAGAAATACAAAAAAGACCTAATGCCAACACTCCTCAAACTCTTCAGTGAAATTGAAAGGGAAGCAATCCTTCCTAAATCGTTCCTAGAAGCAAATATTATTCTAGTACCAAAACCTGAAAAAGACGCAACTGAAAAAGAGAACTACAGACCAATCTCCCTAATGAACACAGATGCAAAAATCCTCAATAAAATATTGGCAAATAGGATGCAGCAAATCAACAAGAAGATCATACACCACGACCAAGTGGGACTCATCCCAGGCATGCAGGGATGGTTCAATATATGTATATCAATAAATGTAATATACCATATCAATAGAGCCAAAAGTAAGAACCACATGATCATTTCTATAGATGCAGAAAAAGCTTTTGACAAGGTCCAACATTCATTTATGATAAGAACCTTGCAGAAAATTGGAATAGATGATCTTTACCTCAATATAATAAAGGCCGTCTATGACAAACCAACAGCCAATATCATACTAAATGGCCAAAACTTGAAGGCCTTTATTTTAAAATTAGGCACAAGACAAGGGTGTCCCTTATCACCACTCCTATTTAATAAAGTGCTGGAAATACTAGCCAGAGCAATTAGACGAAAGAGAAATAAAAGGCGTAAAGATAGGAAAAGAAGTTAAGCTATCATTATTTGTAGATGACCTGATACTCTATATAGAAGATCCCCAAAACTCCATTGAAAGACTGCTAGATATAATAAATTCAGTAATGTAGCTGGATATAAAATCAATACTCAAAAATCAATAGCATTCGTATACACTAACAACAAAGTCACAGAGAGAGAAATAAGAGAAGCCACACCCTTCACACTAGCAACCAAAAAAAAATGAAATATCTAGGAATTACTCTCATGAAAGAAGTGAAAAACCTATACAAGGAAAATTATAATACAATGAAAAATGAAATTGAAGATGATCTCAGAAAATGGAAAGACATACCTTGCTCATCGATAGGAAGAATAAATATTGTGAAAATGGCCATTCTCCCAAAACTTTTATACAGATTCAATGCAATCCTGATAAAAATACCATCAACATACCTCACAGAACTCAAGAAATCACTCCTAAAATTCGTCTGGAGTGAGAAGAGACCTAGAATAGCAAGGACAGTTCTAAGCAGCAAAGGCAAGGCAGGAGGTATCACAATCCCTGACTTGAAGTTATACTACAAAGCAACTATAGTAAAATCAGCATGGTACTGGAACCAAAACAGAGCTGAAGATCAGTGGAATAGATTAGAAGATACAAACACAACTACAAACACACTCAACCACCTTATCTTTGATAAAGGGGTCAAACATGTTCACTGGGAGAATGACAGTCTCTTTAATAAATGGTGCTGGAAAAACTGGCTCTCCATATGCCGAAAACTAAAACTAGACCCATGCCTATCACCATGTACTAAAATAAAATCTAAATGGATCAAAGATCTAAATATTAAAACAGAAACACTAAATCTATTGGAAGACAAATTGGGTAAAAACCTTGAAGATATAGGAGTAGGTAGAGAATTCATGAATAGGACTCAAACCGCATGGGAAATACTTCCCAGTAACAATAACTGGGATCACCTTTATTAAAAAGTTTCTGCATGTCAAAAGACATCTCCATCATAGTGAAAAAGAAAACCCACAAACTGGGAAAAAATCTTAATGAACTGCTCCTCAGACAGAAGACTTCTGTCTAAAACATATAACGAATTAAAAAAAATCAGACCCCCAAAATTCAAAGATCCAATCCAAAAGTGGGTATCTGAGATGAATAAACAATTCTCTGATGAAGAAATACAAATGGCAAATAAATATATGAAAAAATGTTCATCATCATTAGTCATTAGAGAAATGCAAATTAAAACCACACTGAGATTTCATCTCACTCCTGAAAGAATGGCCAAGATCAAGAAAACCACCAACAACAAATGCTGGAGAGGCTGTGGGGAAAAAGGAACTCTCCTGCACTGTTGGTGGGAGTGTAGACTAGTGCAACCATTGTGGAGGTCAGTCTGGAGAGTTCTCAGGAAACTGGGACTGGGAGCCCCATTTGAACCAGCTATACCACTTCTAGGCATATTTCCAGAAGAACTGAAAGCATCATACCACAGTGATATACGTGCACCCATGTTTACAGCAGCACAATTTGTAATAGCCAGATCTTGGAAACAACCTAAGTGTCCATCAACTGAGGAATGGATAAAAAAGTTGTAGTATTTTTATGCAATGGAGTACTACTCAGCTATAAAGAATGATCACATTGAGACATTTATAAATAAATGGACGCAGCTTGAGACCATACTCATAAATGAAATAAATCAAACTCACATGTATAAATACCGAATAGTTTCCCTAGTGTAAGAAATGATAAGAATACATAAAAGTATGTGGTAATCATGATTCCTAATTATATTGCTTTGAAGCCATATAATATTTTCACTCATTAACCACAATGGTTTTAACCTGGGTTGTTCAATTTTAGTATCTATGATAGTACAAATAGCTATTTTGAAGAAAACAACACAACATAAAGCTAGTGCTGATTTAATATCATCTTGTTTTGAAGTCCCATCAAGCTGTGGTAATCTGTTTCCACTGGTTTTAACATGTTGTATCTTACTATATTTCACTATATGCTATGGTATAAACAAAATTCTTTGTAGGCAAAGAGATAATAAAGAAACCGTTGTTCATTTTCTATTAGCTGGTTCTAAATACCCTGTAATTCTTACATTCTCTTGAATGGCTTCACACTGTCTTGATATGATTGATGTTATAGCATACGAAGTTACACTCAAATAATTCAAGGAAAGAGGCACTCTGACGACTACTATTATGTTAGATTATCTGGTGGTGAAACACAATGATGCTTGAATGGTTTGGTTCTGCCCTGCATTGTTATGTTACAATGTCCTCTCTTATCTCAGTATTCCCCCCCTTTTAAAAAATTAATCTATTTTCTCTCATTTTTTTAATTAAGGGAAAACTAAATTAAAAATAGCGGGACATATTATAGTAACTTTCTTGGTTTTCCTATTAACCTGATTTGAACCCCAGTATTGCTCTCCCCATCTTGTTCTGTCTGATTATTCTATATTCTATTTTGTTTGATAGTATCAAGTTTGAGGGTATAGGCAACCACTTTGAAGGCAATAAGATATACTATGATGCCCAATATGGATTGACTATTATCCTTTTTTTGAAGTCCTGTAAAGTCCTCAGTGTAGGTTTTATTGGTTTTGTTCTGTACTGTTTTGATCAATTCTATTATACCTGATGATATAGACAACTCAATTTAAAAATAGCAAGAGGCACAATGGTAACCACTTTTGATCACCTGGTGTTCTATTTTTGCATCATGTGCTATGCCCACTCTTCTATTCTAACTGACTCTGTTTTGCTTAGTCACATTTGGCTTTATTCTCTTCAAAAAAAGTAATAAGAACCGTGGGAGTAATGAAACCCCAAAAATCTAATTGTTATTGTAAAAAAGAGAGGAAAGGAAGGTGGACTAAGGGATATAACTGCAGGTACGTTCGAGTGTGTGGGACGGAAAACCATAATACTGAGCTTTTTTTGGATCACTGAACGGAACTGTCTCCAATTTCACTGTATGAATGTCCACTTTATATGCCTTAATTTTGTAATTTGGACAACTATTCCTGGGAAGATAATATGTAACCTATTAACTGGTGATTTCTTACTGTATATTTTTTTCTTGAAATACTGTATTATTTGTACCCTTTTACTGCTTTTTTAATATCCTTTCTTTTTTTCTATTTATAACAAAAAAAAGAATTGAGTCAGAGATACCCAATATCAACAAATTTTCATTTTTATAGCAATGACTTAGATTATCTCTCACATTTATATCTCCAAATGTTAAGGAATTTAGGGGATTAGTACCTATGTTGATTAACCTGTCTAAGTTACTTTTGTTGTTCCTACGACAAAATACCTGACACCCAAAGTTAAAGGGAGAAAAGTTTATTTAGCTCACAGTTTGTAGATGTTTCAGTCCATAATCAGCTGGCTCCAAGGGAGGGTGGCACATAGCAGAGGGGCAACAGTTCAAGATGGCAGAAGACAACAAACCCAACCAGAGGGAGGAAGCCAAGCCTCTTGCTAACCTTTATATTGTATCCTGTCTACCATCAGTGGACTGATCCAGCAATCACCCCATCCTTACTCCCAGCACCCTTAATCCTAGCACTAAGCAATGAATCGGTCACATTCTCTAAATTCAACCTCTTCCAAAAAAGCCCCACCTTAAATTGCATGAGGTTTTGGGGGGACCTTTAGACACAAACCATAGCAGACCCCAAATTGGCCAAAATAGAAGTCAGTCTTAAATATTTAGCTATCCTTTCATCTAGGATGAGAAAGATGTGTTTCATCAAAATTCCTTGCATGCTGTTTCTTTTTCACCTATTTATGTACGTGCTCTTCACTAACTTTGCTGGCGATGATGGGTGTTATGGGAAGGAATGTGTGAGAAGAGTCTCATCCATTTGTACTTTTTCAAAACCGTGGTAGAAGAAATTGCCTCTTTGTCATGCATATATAATTTGTTCCTACTGAAATCAACTTGTAAAAGGCTTTAACATAAAAAGTACTTTAAGCAATTAACCAAAAAGTACTTTACTGATTTACAAATTTCAGCCAGAATTGTATGGAGTGGGGGCATTTCTGATCTATAAAGATTCCTACGACAGGATGACTCTCATGATGCAAATGAAATTATTTAAAATAAATTGTGTGTGCTCCATTATATGTACATCAAACTAATCCCCAAACTACTACTTTAATTGCACTGTATGACCTTTATTAGATGAGACCCCTATATCCCACAGGTGTCTCTGGATTTTTATGATGTTTTATCATAGCCTCCTCTAAGAGGGAAGGGTAAGGTAGGAACACAGGTGCCTTTTGAGTGAATCTCATGTCCAGAATGTAAGTGTACCTTGGATTATAATTTTTGCCATAACCTCCATAAAGTTTTCCAGATATGATCAAGTTAGTGAAAAGCCTACAGAATCACTTCTTGCCAGTACCTGCCTTGTGGTTTGAGGGTGATCATGAAATGAAGTTTCAGCTAAGACTCTTGCAGGCTCTCCTCACTTCCCTTGAGACTTACCTGCTGAATCCCACCTGAATAGAATTTTGGATCACTCTTTTCCTCTTTGTCCTTTGCCTTTGTAGTTTGTTGTTTGGAGGAGGAACAAGGTATCTAAATTAAATGTATGTAAAGTACACACACACCCACACACATATATTATATATATATCTATATATATAATTTTATATATATAAAATGATGAAATGATGTCTGGGAATTTCCTAAATGTCTATAATTAATGAGAGAAAATTCTCTTAGCTGAAATATGAACAACAACCATAAACAGAGTAAAGTTAGGAAAATTGAAAATTTTGGTTGTATATAAAATCTAAGTACAGCTACACTTTTAAGGATTACAAGCTAAGATGGTAAAAATTCTTTCAGGCAATAATTGAGTTCCATGAACCAAGTTTGTTGGATTAGCTAAGTGTCCTCTTTTTGATGCCATTTAGATCTAAAGAACATTAATTTTTATTCTCTAACAGGTTTTAAATCTGAGAAAAAAGTAGAGGAAAATATCTTAAGTGACAAAATCCTCAAGAGAAAAAGGTAGTTCACGTATAGCTTTAAACAGTAGTCAAATCCAGTCTTTCATGCATAAAATTGAATGGATTTTTGCAATATGTAGGAGATGCACTCTACAGGCTATTTGGATGGGTTAAGAATGGAAAAGTGATAAAAATCACATTTGGACTAAGATCAGTGCATCATACAGCACCTACTCATCCCTGCATGCTTTATCATGAGTGAAGCATAAGTATAAATTAATGCTTCCCTTCCCACGCTTCTCTAAGAAAGCCTTCCCCAAGAGCTCCATTTAGTTTGGAGGCATTTATGTAAGCCCAGGGGCATAATGAGAGTTACCTAGAAGACTGAGCTCTAAACACTTTACACACCTTGACCCATTTAATCTTCAGAACCTCTTTAGAGACAGATGCTATTTTTGCAATCTTTACAATTAAGCAGGCTGAAACACAGAGATTAGTTTGAAATTACGTGACACATGAATGAGGATATCAGAATTGATATAGTTTACTTGTAGAGACTTAGATCTTAACTCTATATTGTGATATCTCCTTTGATGCAATTTAATTCCTTTAATATTTTCACTTTCTTTAGTAGTTTTTCCCTGGGAGGGCAGAGTCAGAAAGAAAGAATAAATATAGTTATTTACAGTTATTTGTGGAAATACATTCTTTGATATTAGACATCAGCCATTATTAACTAATCATTTCTAGGAGTACTCCTAGAAATTTAGTACAATCAGTCTTTAAATCAGGAGTGAGAAGATTACAGTAAAGGAAGTATTGGGAAAAAAATAGCTGTACAATAAAACTAAGCTTTTTTTTTTCAGAAGGAAAATAACTTAGCTAATTTTAAAATGAATTAGGTAGTGGGAAAATTTGAAAATACAATAAAAACAATATAGTAAGTTATTACCATGTCACTTATTCCCACTATAATACAAACACTATTTGTGAGATAAACGTTCTTTAAAATTTTTATAAATCATTCTAATGGGAGAGAACCATTTAAGCATTTTTTTCTGAATAACAAATGATGGAATAATATAAAGACCGGGTAAATTCATGAAATTTGACCTAATTTTTAGATATTTTAGAAGAGGGACATACAAAGTGAAAATAAGTGAATAGGCTTTATTGTGGAAATGACAAAATTCGTGATTGGTTACTCAAAGAAAATTTATTGGCACACACCATATAATCTCAACAGAGTGAAATGGCACAAAACACTCCTTTAGCCAATCTTTTAAACCATAAAGAGGGGATTCAGCCATCAGATGCATTGCTCCATATCTGTTCAGCCAGACTGAAGTGTGTCAACTGAGCAATCTGCTAAAATGGATTCCCTTTCTCACACAGGTTCTGGTAGATTTCCAGCAAGAATATCGAAATCTCCAAGCCTTTTGGTCAAATTAGAGATGCCAACATGCAGGAGGTTTTATTTAAAGCTGTTTAATGATGGGAAAATTTATACTTCTTTGACCTGATTTTTGTTTCTGAAAAAAAAAAGGAGGATACTTATTTTAACAATCTAGCGACCTTCTGCTTTGGAGGAAAATGTTAGAAAATTCAAGAAAACCAACCTATTAAAATTAACTTTTAGAATACAGTCTACAAGGTTTCTGGATTTGAATTCCAGCAAAATAGGTATAAATTCCTTTTCGAATATAAAATGTTTGAATTTAGATGGATACGTTAAGTTCTCTAAAGGTCAGTTTCATAGGACTGTGCTTTTCTTTTTGGAGCTGCCATAATGCATTTTGTAGAGATAACCAAAGGGTGAGGAGACAAACGATACAAAATTTCACTCCCAAATTCCTGAGTTTCAGTATTTTAAAGTGAAAATGTCTGTGAAATGCGACCAGTTGGATGAATCGTATCAGAAAGCTTGTGGGAAGAACTGCGTGAAGCTGGCCGAGGTAGAGCTGATGACACACTTATACTAATCTTGGGTGTAAAGTTTCCCAAGAAGTTGTTTCTTTTTTCTGTGTTTATCCTTATCATATTTTCTGTATATTACATGAAACTAAAAGGGAAGGAGAAAGTTTGATTCGTTTGTAATTTGCAAACAAATCTGCCATGTCGGCTGATTTTTGTGGCTCTCGTAGGCCTCAGTTTTTACCTGGCAAATGGATGATACTCAAATTGTGGTACTGTTTGGCTGACCAAATAGAATATGGTGTGATGGGAGGTGGGACTATCTAGCTTGGCACACAATCTTATACTTCGCAGAATAAGAAACCACATTTTTTAAAAAAAATCCACATTTTCATCAGCACTGTCTTAGTCACTTGATGCTCGTTGCTAAGACAAAATACCTGAAGCCCAAAGTTGGGAAAGGAAAGGTTTATTTCTTTTTTTTCTTTCTTTTTTTTTTTTTTTTTGTCTTTTTTGGTACCAGGGATCGAACTCATGACTGCCTGCTTGCAAGGCAGGCTTTATGCCGCTGAGCTAAATCCCCAGCCCCAAAAGGTTTATTTCTTACAGTTTTTGGAGGTTTCAGTCCACGCTCAGTTGGCTCCCAGGCAGGCAGGCATGGCTGGGCGGCAGTTCATGGCAGCCGCCAACAGCAAGTTCAAAGCAGCAAAGAGCAAGACACACCTTCTTCCTGCCATTACATCACATCCTGGCTCCACCCCTTTGTGTGTGGAGCACTGACACCATCAATCCGAGCACTAGACACTGAACGAATAACAAATGCACAATTCAAACTCATGAGGCCTGGGGGACACAGACAAAAACCATGACAAGCACTAATCTTGCCATCATTAGAAAAACCACTTACAGCATATAATTTACTATGCTGCATTTCAAGATATTTCAGATTCAGTGTTCATCCCTTATTGGTGGCTTCCACTGTCCTGGATCAAGGGTGGCAAACCCTTGACAGCTCTTGAGGATAACAAACAGCGAGCTGTTACAACAGGCCATCGGTTCACCACTACTGTCCTAGATCAATCATGGTTATTATGGCTTGAGTCTGGGTCTCCCCAAAGCCTCATGTGGTCACAGGCAAGGGTTGTTCAGAACGGCTGGATCTAGAGTGTGCGATGCGCTGGGATTAAGTGCATGACGCTTGGATCAAGGGTGTGCAGTTACTAAATTAGTCCACTGATCAGTTTGGCATAGTTCCTTGTATGGATAATGGCACGTAGCCTGGATACAACCCAAGAGACCCGAAGAGGGCTGTTCTGCTTACTCATGGCTTCTTCATTATTTTGCTGTTTTGCTGACTTCTGCCCTCCATGAACTGTTTCTCCTCCGCAAGGCCTTTCTTCCAGGCCATCCTGCCTTGCAGCCAGTCAACCACGAACTGAAACTTCTACAAACCTCTACCATAAACCTTTCCTCTTTTAATTTTGGATTTCAGGTATTTTGGCTCAGCAACAAGAAAAATAACCAAGACAACAGTCCAATAGCTCTAAACAGAAATGTCCAGAAACAAACATATGTTTCAAATTGTTAAACTGTTCTGAGTAGAGAGACAAAATCTCACACAGTCACACATGGCCTCACTTGGGACCTGATTCATTCATTCTTTGTCCAAACAGCCACAAGCTATATGCTACCCGTCCACCAGGCACTCAGAAGACTTAGTCCCCAGAGGGACTGTTGCTGTATCTTGTGCTTGTGTTTGAGCAACCTATGCTTCACTTACTAAAGGCTCCGAGGTAAAGATCAGATATGCTCAAGACAAGCAGTAGAGTGCAGCCCTTAGGATCAGCTCACACATCCACAGAACTGGGATTCTCCCCCCAGCCTTGGTGTTAATATTCTAAATCTCTAAGCATCACACTCTGCTTCTTTCAGCTTGGTACAGCAATTAGGCACAGAAGCTTCCGTGTCCGGTGTTTCTAACACTGGAAATGATGTCAAAGGCAAATCAAAATGGTAAAAATCTCACTGGCACTCACTGACTTTAAAATTGATGACTATTTTAGAGGAAATAGTTGGCTACATTTTTCATTTTTGTTATAAAACAGTCTACTTATACAAATGGATTTATGTGCACATATTTAATCATATAGGTTAGATATAATCATTAACAATATCATGAACAACCAAGTAGTAATCAACATAGGAAATAAAATACTAATTCTTAAATAGATAACCTCCTAGAGCCATTCTGAATGTTTGTCCCATAATTCTTTCTGCACTCCAAATACACACAATGTAACCAAAAAATGGAACATTAAGAGATGAAAAAAAAAAAAAAAAAAAAAAAAAAAAAAACGTATCTTGCCTTTTGAAAATGTCTATGTAAAAAATATTGGTATTCTTTTTTGTCATACATGTACTGTAAAACCCACTGTTGCCCAGCCTGGCAGATCATGCCTCTAGTCCCAGTACTCTGAGGTAGCTGAGATAGGAGGATCACAAATCCAAGTTTATCCTGGGCAATTTAGCTACTTAGTGAGACCTTGTCTGTCATGGTTTGTGTCTGGATGTCCCCCCAAAGCCTCATGAAGTCATGGGGGAGGTTTTTCAGAGACAGCTGAATCTAGAGTTTGTTACTGATTAATTGTATAGTCCTGGAACTAAGGGTATCAGTGCTACACTTGCCCTAGGGCAGGTAGCCTGCATATGCTATGAGGGAGGAAAAAAGGCTTGCTCCTCGGCTTTGCTCTAGTTGCTATTTGTATCTTCTGTTGCCATGAATGTTGCTCCTCTGCATTGCAACCTGCCTTGGAGCCAGCTGATTATGGACTGAAATCTCCACAAACTGTGAGCTAAATAAACTTTTCCTTCTTTCCTTTGGGGCACCAGGTATTTTTTCTCAGCAGTTAGAAAAAGTAAACAAGACATTGTGTCAAAACAAAAATATAAAAAAGGGCTGGGGTTATAGCTCAGTTGGAAGGCCTGTGTTCAATCCCTAGTTAGTACTTAAAATGTACAAATACTCTGTGGTTTTCTTTTTAGTTTTTAAACTCTGTACAAATGGTATCCTGATTTGTATAAATGGCATCAGTCAATTGTACATTTCACTCAGCATTGCTTGAGTCATTTATCCCTATTTGTGCTTATATAAAGTTTTTTTTGATAATTTTATGTGGATATACAATGTGAACAAACTGAAGTATGAAAATGTCTTTTACTGCTTGTTTTTTTTTTTTTTTTTTTTTTTAATTTTCAGTTCGTTCTGCACTCAAGAGCAATGCCGCTGTGTGTCATGAGCATATCTTCTGATATGAATCGAGCTAAGGTCTCTCTACAGTACTAACAGAGAAAACATTACTTGGAAGAATGATGTGTCCACCTTTTCCTTCGCTTAGAATGCCAACTTGCTCTGGGGGATAATTACACAGATTCACAAACACAATGTATAAGAAAACCAAAAAGCCTGACATTATTTTTTCCTTACCAACATTTGTTACATTGTCTTTTTTAACAGGCACAAAACATACTTTAATCATCTTCCCGTTAACCCTCTTTTCATCTAGTTTCACATTTTGCAAGGATCAAATGTATTTCTGATATTATTCTTGTCTGTTCTCTTGATTTCTTACCCCACAACCAGTCAGATAACAAATCCTATCCATTCTATGTTCAAAATATTCCCGGGGTCCAATCTCTTTTGCTCATTCTGCTGCACACCTGGGGTTCGCATCACCATCTTGATAGATCTGGAATCATCACAGCACATTCTCCACCATTACTACTGGGTCTAAATTCCCTCTTCCTCCTGGATTATAAACAGTAGCCCTCTTCCTGGCCTCCTTGGTTGCAATTTTGCCTCATATGCAAAAGAATATCTTCAACTCTGCAGCCAGATAAATATTTTCAAACTCTTTACTCATTTTTCTCCTCAGAATACTACACTGGGCCTCTGATCTCTCTTGGGTTTGCCCGATGCCCTGGAATCTCAGCCTCATCCACTACACCATCCCCTTACCCCATTTACCTACGTTCCTGGCTTCCTTGTTTCTTGTATAGCAGACCAGATCTGCCTCCCAAATATGCAGTGGCCTTTCCCTGTGTCTGGAAATTTATGATCTAACACCCCAGAACTGCCCATGGCTCCCTTTCAATTCTTCCTCCATCTATTCATCTAAAAAAATCTTCTCAGTGAAGCTTTTCCTGACTACTGTCTTTAAGGCCACCATCCTGCTCCTGTTCCCTCTCACTGTTTATGAGGGTAGCAATTTTTGGCTAGCTTTGGAGTGTATCTCTCATTTTTAGAGCACAGTAGTACAATAAATAATAATTACAGTGCTAAGAGCTACTCATAATGCTCGTTACTCTAGCTACTAATAAACAGATGATACAAAATCAGCTTAATTCTCTCAAAACCAATGTAGAGGGAAACTTCCTGTTTTGGTGATGGAGAGAGAAAAATAGGAAGCGGGAAGGCATCGCAGGACGATTATCTATAACATCGGGGAGCAGTGAAGGGAGCAAAGTAATTTGGAAAGTTTTATTCTTAAAAACTGGCTGGACATTTCGGTCCAGCAAAGGGTCCAGCAAGGAGAGCCTGTGACCCCTCCTTCCTGAGCTGACAGAAGTTCAAAGCCTCCCCATGAATGCCCGGGAGGTTACTGCGCCACAAGGTTTTGTCAGCGCAGCACTGACCCATCCTTGGCGACCAGGTCGCCCCTGTCCACTGACCAGCATCCACGTGGTGCAAACAGAGCAGAATCATCTTTTATCGAACAAGAAAAACCCCAACTTTCTCATGGATAATCAAAGGGTAGCCAAGTTCCAAACAGCACCAAGAGCGTGTGTATTTTAGAAAAGAAAAACAAAACAAACAAACAAAACAAATCGAGTGGAAGGGAATCCAGCGCACTGGAGCAGCCGAAGGGCGCCCAGAGCTGCGTACCTTGCCCTTGAGCGGCCAGCTCTTTCCAGCGCTCCTTGTTCTGCTGAATGATGTCCATCAGGTTGTTCTTGAAGCTTTTGAGGTCCACGGCGGCCAGCGAGTAGTCCGGGGAGTAGCTCCCGTCGCTCACCGAGCCCTTCATGTTCGATCGTCGCATGGAATCGGCGATGTGCAGCCCCACGATGGTGGCTGAGCTAAGGGGCAGGACCCAAGGAGCCAAAAGACACCAAGATCAATCACCAAGGGCTCCACAGCTCGACGCAACCGGACAGAGGCGGCTCGGGCCAGGTCTGAGCTCGCAGAGGCCGCTGCTCCCCTCCCCGGCCTCCCGCCCCCTCGCACACTTTTGCACTCCAGGAACTTTTCCACCTCCACGTATTTAAACAGTGGACATCAGCTCCAAGCGTCAAAGGCAGATGCAACGCAACAAAGCGCCACTAGGTGGCAGTACTACCTAATAATTCTTGCAAGAATTCCCCACCTCGCTGTAAAAATAAGGGCGAGGCGCTAAGTGTAAGGTTGTTAATCATAACAGACATGAAAAGTGATCAAAAGGATGAAAGGTCATACCTGCTTGCCCCATAGTTAGGACTGTCGGCTTTGGAGGCTTCCTCTATAAGAGGAATAACAATTTTCTCTGTTGAGTCTGTCAGAAGAGAAAATGTTGGCTCTACTATGAAATCAATGAAACCTAAAAAAGAAATGCAAAAATACAAACAAAAAGCTAAATGGAAGTGTTACAATTTCCTGAATCCTAATGTCATAATGATTAAGGGCTACTAGCACGTCCCTGGGGTAGCAAATACGGACTAGAACATTGGTTCTGCTTACCCTTTAACATTTCAATCCAATAACAGCATTTTTAGAGACCGTTTAAGTGATGCAAAAGATGTTAAGCTGTGGCAGTGGGACATTTTACTCTGTCACCTTAAGTATGCTGGCTTTTCTATTCCGTGTTCAGTCTTATAAACTATTGCTAACAATCAACTGATCCAATGAAAGGAATGCATTTCCTCTCTCAATGAGAAGGACCATCATCCTTTTAGGAAAGTTTTTATTTGGTTGAATTTTATTATTGCTCAAAAAATAAATCAAATCTAAGCTCCAAAGCAGCTAAATAGTTGTAGTCATTCTCAGGCCACAGGAAGGTGACCAGTGATCTCTGCTAGTGTGTCAGTATTTCAAACTGTTGTTATTTTGTGCAGGTAAAGCAGTAGTTTGCCGTTTGTGGGTATGTGATGCCAAATCAGCATCCCTGGAGATAGCATGAATCCCTCCACTTTGGGAGGACAGGACTGAAAGACTTTTATACTTACAGTACTTATCAAGATAGGAAATGACACCTAGAGAGCAGGGCATGGTCCCCTGGGAGCTTTTGTCACACAGTGTCGAGAAGATAGAGGACTACACACCAGCTATGTCTGAGCTCTGTGTGTATCTCAGCACCCTCTGCTCCAAGGGGCAGGCAAGCGCTTCAGATCGGGATGTGTCACCTTCTACCAGTACCGTGTGACTACAGGAGAGGAATGGCGGGGTGCTTTGGGGCCATAATCCCTGGGAAGTATCCACATGTGAAAGTGACCCATACAGACTCTTAAACAAGCAGCATTTCAAGAACTGGACTCAGTAAAGCCAGGCACATTTCTACTTAACAATAAGACTTCGATTGATAACTTTAGATTAAAGCAGTGTGAACTGTCCACCCAGGATGTTACTTTGAGTTTTGCAAGTGGTTTCAATACCAGGGATATGTAGATGGTCCACTAACAGACGTGGCAGCAATTAAATCATAGCCACAAAGCCTCGGGATGTTGATTCCTTCCCCAGATGGCCAGGTGAGGTTCTCAGCCTGCCTGCACGCACTCACCCTTTCTAAACACCAACAGACTCCTAGGCTGTGGTCTCTAGATAAATAGCTGCTGGAAGCTGGCTAGGAGGGAGATGTTGGAGCGAGAGGCTCTCCCATCACCCTGCGGCTTTGTGGTGGGAGCTACTGCAGTACTTGAGGTGAAGGAGTAACTCTACGTTCATTGATCATGTAGTTCAGTAATGAAGGTGCTACTTCAGGGAACAGCTTTTACAAATATGTCAACCTGCAGTGTGGCAGTCAGGCTCTAATAATGACTTGGAGTTGAAGTTCCCAGCACAGATACAGATGAGAATGAATGTGGCTGGAAGCAAGATCATGCTGTTGGCTTATCTATCTGTATCCCACGAACTACTTTTCCAAAAGAATAAGAGCTTATATGTTAAGAATACTATGGAAATTTACCAATGACAGTATAGGAATACTAATAAGCTCATTGAATTGTGTTGCATTAAAGGTTCAAATTAAATGATCAGCAACAAAATAAAAAATATAGTTCTTTGCACAAGAAAGTCCTTTGCTTTGCAAAAGAAAATTATAACCAGAGGACCAATATCACCAACTAAGCTTGCTTTGTTGAATGTGTTTTGTAAAATTATCTCAATAATCATTATTGAGCAATATCTAGGTCAGTCTAAGGACAAAATTTATTAAGGAATAAAGGGAGGCTTGGCTGGAAGCCTCTGAGCAGCATGTTGTACACATCTGGAAACAGACAAGGCCACACCCACCTCCCTGGAACACCCGTCCTTGACATTACCTATCTGTGACTGGGCCACCATCGTTGAATTCCGATCACAAAGCGGGGAAAATGGGAGCCCCAGTTCCGCTTCTTTATCTCCCTAGGGAAGGAAGAGCACATTAGCACTGGCAGAAGAAAGCTACGATAATGAGCCCCCAGACACAAAAATTTAAAAGCTGCATCTTCCATCTCTTAATTTATATAATTTACACATTAAATGTGAAACTTAAATTTTATATTAAAATTAATAAAATTTAATAGAATTTTAAATAACATTTTATTTTAAATTATAAACATATATTATATATGTATCTTAAAGTCCAAGTTCTCTAACTTTTCTTGGATGGTCTTTTGAAATCCTTCAGGTGGGAAAAATGAACATTTTTATCACTGGTCACCTTTGCTTTGTTATTATATTATTATATTATTATTTGCTTTGTTGCTATAACCCCTTGATTACAAAAAGACAAACATTTGCTCTTTGGAATTTTCTAGCTATCATAATTATTTTAGCGTATTCTTTGGCATTTGACAGTGTAGTGGACGGGTTTTACTGCTCCTATTTTTATGCTAATTATATCAACAAAGCTTCAGAATCAAGATTTTGTGACTAGCTGATTTTTTCAAAGCAAATGCGCATGACAATTTTGAAGTATCTTTCTATCACTGTCTTACTATATCTCTCATGAGACCTAATGAAGAATGTTTTCCACATTCATACATTCTGCTTGCATACTTTTAGTGCATTCTTCTCAGACAAAGCTGAAATGTCAATTGTGTATTCTTGTCTAACGTAGATTACTTGAGCACCCATGTTAAAGAGTTCCATTCATGTTTGCATTTAACATCATGAAAAATAATTATGTCTTAATTTCCTAAAATATAGGAGGTTGCTCTTAGCAAACTTTTATTCTCATGGGCTAGCAAATATTGATTCTTTCTTTGTTCACAAGATGATGCGCCCATGCGAGAAAGAGGAGGGCACCTCCATGACCCTGTTGGTTCCAAATGTCTGGCTATTGTATAGATGAGTCCAGCAAATTAATTTAATTATGGGCTGAATTAATTAATTAATTAATTATGGGCTGAATACCTTCGCGAGGTAACCACCTTGTATCAGGCCGTAACTTAAGAAACAACGCCTGGCTAGCACGTCTAGCTCCCTAGCAGTCTGTTTCCTGTAACAAGCTTACCCCAGTCTTTACAACATCCTGTCAATAGGCCGCTTCGAATTTTTTGGGAAAATGTAAACATGATCACCAAAGAAGTAGGCAAAGTAGTTATAAATAGGGATGTCTTACTACATCATGACTTAGAAAAACAGGGAATAAGAATTCCTGTGACCTCTGCAAGCAATTCCCTAATTAATAATATCAGGATCACTTAGAATTAATATTTACACCCAGCTTCAGGGCAGAGGAGGAGAATTATTAATGCCATTAGCCTTGGAGCCATAAGAGACAGCTACATCACTTAGGCCCTGCAGATGTTCTCTCTTACTGCAGACAGGTCCCAGTCTTTGCAGAACCAGTTTTGACCATGATTTGTATTCTTGGTGTGCACATTTGGATATAAGGTAGTGTCTCCTCACAGGATTATCCTGGGGTTATCTGCGGTAATCTACGTTAAGCTTCGCGATACACTGAGCTAATGAGAATCAGCGTAACAGCAACAACGTGCAGCTGTGTACATTAAAGGTGTATTATGACACCCAATGCACATGTAGGAAGGCTTTCAACCACAGCAAAAGAGGCATTTGTACTAAATTAGCACGCAATAAAAAGGCAATGGCTTTTTCTTCCCTCCCTTTGTTTTTCTAGCAAGGAATCAACATGACAGGAATTCTACTCTTGAAACTTAATTTGTCAGCAGCATGAGAGAAAGCATGAGGTGAATTCAGGCTGACTCTGGTGGCTCCAATAATTTCATTTATTAAATGCAAACAATAAAGTCCAGGAATCAATACCATGTGCAGACTGCTACCAGGATGGAACAGAAAGACCCCACCTTCTCCCCAGGAGTCAGCGCCATTCTCAGACTGGGGGTAGAGGGGAAAAGGCCACACCAGAAAGCAAGGCCAGTCTGGCAACCAGCACCATGAACAGGTCGCTGCCTGACTGGAACAGACAGAACCCAGCCCCTTCTGGGCAAGCGGGCTGGCAAACCAGAAGTACTAATGCCTCCCCGCACCATTCCCCGCTGTAAGTGACAGGCTTATCCAGAGAAACGCAGCCTGTGCTGATAGCTGTGGAGGTGAAATGCCATTGGATGCCTGGGTGCTTTGGTGCTTCACCAACACTGCAGGTCTAGGGCCAGGGGTCTGACCATGGGTTGAGAGGATAGTGGTACCCAGTGTGATATCCAGATGGAATCTCCTTTTAAGGGTCGCAGCCATTGTTGATTCCGTGTCATTTCCACTGTTTTGTTGGGTTGGGTTTTATTCTCTTTTATTTTGTTTGATTATGTCAGATCCAATAACAGGAGCAGCTATTTCAAAGATAGCAAGATACATTATAGTAATTTTGGATTTACCATTGTCTTGTTTCATTGCATTCATTGTTTTGTTTTTATTGTTCCTATTCTATTCTGTTCTATTTGATTTTTACTATGTCCGAAGTTATCTGCAGCTATTTTGAAGATATCAAAAGGCATTATGATAACTATTATTGATTTCGTAATGTTTTGAAGTCCTGTATCTTTCACGCTGGTTTCTTTTGATTGGTTTTATTGTTTTACACTCTTCAAAATTAAAAAAATCTTTAAAAAATGCAGACAATAACTGCTTTTATTGATCAGGGTGCTATCGTTATTTTAAGGACACAAACTTAGCAGTGTGTTTTGACACTGTACAATCCTTTGGTAGACACAAAAATGATAATATAGGCCTTAAGCAGACACTGTGATGATTCACTCTTTGTGAACTAAAGCTCACAGACTGTTAGATGATCATGCGTTCCATGTGTAACTTTGGCATCTGACAGTTATGTTGACAGAGCAAATTCCCTGTACCTGAAATGGGGTGAATTCATGCTCTATTTGTTCCAACATCTTTCATTTAATTTAGAATATCAAATTCTCACTGCTAAAGTGCATTGAGTGCTAAGTGCATGAATTATTCAATTTCTTTATAAATATTTCAAAGTGTTATTTATTCTTTACCATGAATAAAGGCCATGAGTGCAGGGCTCCTAGGGGGCCCTATAGATCACAGAGGGACCGGAAACTCACTGGGACGAGAGGATATGAAGACAGGTAAAGTTTCTCTGATTATAAATTTGACCAACTTTACAGTTTTCCTTATTCTAATCTTGCATAGGGAATATTTGCTTTCTATCAAGATAAAATCAAGGGCAAGAGATCAGGCACTGTATTTGACAACTCATTTCTATTTTTCTTGGAGGTTGTGTTATCATTTGGGGGTTAGGGTGCTGCTTTCAAAACAAACATGAAATTCAGGTAATTAATAAGTGCCGCTCAGCACAGCCTCCTGGCATGGCCTTGTGCCCTAGGACATGTTTGCTGGCCAGGAGGCCTCAGAAGTAACCCTGGCAAGGAAGAACCAGAGCCAGCTGGGCGCACACAACACGGAGGTTACACCTGTCTCAGCAATTCTCAGGGAGACCGTTGAGGTCTCTTCTTTGAAAGGCCATGACCAAGAGCGAGTAATTGTTTTTATGCTTTCCTAACTGTAGAAAAAAGCCTGTGACGGCCATCAACAAGCTGTCACATTCAGTAAGGAAACAGCTCTTCTTTTTTCTTTTTTTTTCACATCTCAGAAACCAAGACAATTTCTATAGTTTTAAAGATAAGAAGGAGAGGGTGAAGCAGAGAAATCTTGAGGTGCTTCTTGCATAATCTACATTCCGGTGGGAGAAGCAGTAACAGCATCATTTGGGAAGCCTCGGACCACAGGCGCAGGGCTGTGAGACGGCTGAGGGCAGAGTCTGCAGACCACAGGGCTGCAGGGGGTTTAACCAGGCAGGGGAGCACACAGGAGCTTTGCCCGCTTTGAACAACTCATTGGAGGAATTTATCCAAGATTAGAATGTCCCTTCACTCCTAAAAATGGGCTTTATAAATTCTCAGGAAGCCACCAACCCCGATTAAAAAATCTAATGATTATGGCACCTTCCGCATGGTGTAACTGTGTTTCGTGGGTACTGTACACAGCTATACAGTGTTACAGCTCCTTTGTGTAACTGATATTAATGATACATTTAGGCCTTTTGAAAATAGAATCTTTGAAATTTACATTTTAAATTATATATTGGCTTGTAACTATAGTTCTTTGTATTTATATAATTTCGAAGGCTGCAGTTATATATTTTTGATACCAGATCATTAATTGAGAATGGATTAAATATGTTTTTATTACTCTAAGAAAGGACACTTATTTTGAAATAACATACTTTATATTACTTCTAGTAATATTCAAGAAAATAGAGGAATTTGACTGTATTTTATTCAAGGTAAAATCACCTTTTGGACTTTTCCTTCCAAATGACTCTCCCAATTAATTCTCTTTTCTTGGAATAAGCTTTTGTGTTTATTAATACAGGTAGTTTTAGCCCAAATATAGATTTTTCTCTTCATGTGTCACAAGACAACTAGCTGAATAAAGGAACAATGCATTCCGTTATCAGGCTCCCAGCATAAGATATGAAGACATTTTAACATAATTAACTTTTTATAAGAATTTAATTATGTTAGCTTCGAATCATGCCTATCAAATGTGTTTTCAAAAGACAGTACGAAGCAAAGTCTTCCTTTGTTAGTGGTTATTCTTTGGTCTGGCCTCTCCATCTCTGGCCCTCCTCTCCTGTCGATCTAGTTGAATGGACATGTCCACACCCACTGTGGGAGAGGACGGAGGCAACTAGGTGCATCTGTTGAAAGCTCAAAGGGAGGTCACTGTCTGTGTTAAGGACTATCACAAGCTCTCTGTGAAAATGTGTGGGACATGAAGCTTTCCTTCTCCTTGGCCACCAGTGGCTTATTCAAGAGTCAGAAATCAGTGTTTCTCAGATCTGCAAGTTCTGGCTGCAATTCTGGTCTCCTCAGGCTGCAGCTTCCCTGGCTTTAGAGTCTGAATATAAAGTA